TTTTTTTTAAGCCTACTCTGTACTTTGAACTACTGGACTGTTTTTGAGATCATGAAGTAACTGATCAGCAATACAACTTGTCTCCAAAATTTTGACGGTTTTATACAGACATAATATGAACACCATATGAGCATCAGTTAAGAGAAGAGAGGGAGTACATGGAAATGAAATTGGAATTAATTTTATTGTTGAGTGCAGATAAAGCCTTTCAAAAGTCAAACCACTTGCCTCCTCAGAAATAGGCATAGTATTATTTGTGAGATAGGATTCAGGATGTACAGGGGCATCTTTCTGTTCTCTGCAGCTATTTGGGAGTGCCAGGGACACAGTAACACTGCAATTACTGAATTAGGTCAGGGAAAGTAATAGTCTCTGTAGCTGATTCAATTACCGTATTTTGATTTTGCTTCATTTGGTCAAATTATGCCTCACTTGTCTGCAGATCTGTTTTACACCTTCATCCTTCCCTCTCGCCCTTCACTTTACAAACTCCAATAAATGAATTCAGCCCTCTGAGTTTGACATGGGATCAGCAGGCATCATTAAGGCCCTGCATTGCCTAACCATTTGTCACTGGCTCAACCTCCTTCTGAGAACTTACTTGTTAGATAAGGGCTTTCACTATTTTTCACCACGTGTTTGTAACTCTTAATCCTAAAGATCTGTCCCCAAGCCAATGAAGTTTTATCCATGCTGAAAAGCCTCAAACAATAGCTCTAAGAAGTATATCATTACCCTTAACAGGTTACTTCTGAAAAGTCTGTAGAATGTATTTATGGCAACATTAACTCTCTCATTGCTCATGACATAAGAAAATAAGGGCTGTTACATCTACCTCTAAGATTCTTACTTATCTTCTTGGTATCTAAAATCCTCCAGTGCTGAGTTTCCAAACAGATGATCAAGTTCCAAATTTTCTCTTGGTCAGAGATATCTGTGATATAACTTGTAAATAAAACACGTGCTTTAAAATGTGTACAAAAAAAGTTTTGTCCAATATAATTTGATTTTAATTCAGTTCATTTCTTACTTCAATTATATTTATAATAAAAACTTTAATTTTTCTTCACACATTATAAAGAATGCACAATAAGATTGTATATTACACATGTATTAGATTAAAATTTACAATCAGCAATAAGGAGACTCAAGTTTTTCTACTGTAATTGTGGTTTTGGTCTCTTAAAATACAATTTTGGGAGCATTGTCTATATGGATGGAATACTTCAAGCATTAAATCAAGATAACAATCATACTTAAACCATGAAGACGTGCATTGCCCATTACTATATACAATAATAGCATCTTTGTTCATTGTGTTTGTTAAATATATCAATGCCAACAAATGCTTAAATTATGCTGTGAGTACGCTCTCAATGAATAAACATTAAGGAGTCATGTATCAGCAAATACCAAAACCACCAGCACAAAAATCTCACAAGGATAATAGCGGTCTTGAGCTAGCAGGACTTGCATTTACAAAGCATTGGGTTTAGTTTCTCAAAGCAAGTTACAAGTTATTTCAAGCAGATACAGAATTGAATTAGAAGCACTGAAAGCATCAGCTGTTTTAGTAGGGAGGAGCACGGTGATGTAAGATTTTTTTTTCTTGTAAGGCCTAAACAAGTTACTGAAAGTCACCGGACACTTGTTGCAACAGAGAGGGTAGAATACTTCAAGGGTGCTGGAAGCTTCACACTTCAGAAGTTTGAAACTAACTTTATACACAGAAGCTTGCACCCGCTAACTCAGGAAATAACGTTGTACATGGGCTTAATCAAGAATCAGCAGGGCTAGGACCAAAGATCATAAACTCTTCAAGACGGTACAGCTGTCTTCCAAAACATTACCAGTATTTTTCAGGCTAGAGAGAGAAGGTAGACCACAATTGACCATTTTGCTGGAAGCATACAGTTAACATTTGGAGCTTTGATTACAGAGACAATGGGAATGTGCTTTTAAAAGACAAAAATCTATTCAAAGGAAACAGCTAAGACCACAAGAAACTGTCATAAGAATTGTTCAGGTGATTATGTAACACTGTCAATATTATATTGTTTTCCTCAAAATCTGCTTTTCTATTCCTGATATGTAAAAATCAATCATTAATTTTTCTGCAGAGTATCTTCTGAGAACTTATACAATAGTGTCACAATCATAAACAGAAAAGTACGACAAATACCTTAAGTATCAATGTTCAAATAAATTACTTTTTTTCCCCTTCATTTAAAAAGTAAAAGGAAAGAGAAAGCAAGATGTAGTTTGATTAAGGAGATCCTAAACCTGGACAGGAACATAGGAGTTTGTCTATATTTGAAAAAAAATACCATTTATGTTAATGTTCATGTTGTACTTTGTATAAAGCATCACACAGGAATACAAACAGCTTTATGACTATACTGACAAGGATGAAATATCCATTCCGATATCTTATGTTACTTAATCACACACCCAAATTCACAACTAGAAGAACAAGTTGTACTATTTATGCAGATGTGCTCTAGCACAGTACTGCATTTTACACCGAGACTGATGACTACAGAGAATGCCCCTTTTTCACTGGCATCACAAATAACATGCAGAAGGGGTTCTTCATTAAAAATCAATTAAAGCTTTAATTCCTATTTTTCCTTTTCTTTTTCTCTTTATTATTGCCATTTTGGCACACAAAAATACAATCATTTCCATTAAATAATTCAACTTATGTGTTGATCAGCTATGACAATAAATTCATCAGACTGATAACCATAAAAGGTATTCCTCTTCCCATTTCACCTCATTTCACCATGTTTCAATTTCAGTGACTGACTTTTTGTGTATCTTAATGCACAATTAAAGAAAATTATGATCCCTCATTGCACATCTCATTTCAGTCAACCTTTTACCTACTTTTTTCTCTCTCCATATTAATTCCCTCTTCACATTGTCAAACATACCTCAGAATCTCTGGAAACACATCACCCCAATTCTGTATCAAGGAGATTAATTACAAGATTACAATCCCTTCAGATTAACAAGTATCACAAAAGCATCCTATCCAAGTTCTCTACCTATCTCTCTAAAATTTATTTTACATGGTTGGCTTTTTATATTTACATTAAAAAAAAATAATCAAAGCACTACCCTGAATAAGTTTCATTATGAATGAGTTTTCTTGTCAACTACAAGAAGATTCGTGTCCATACACACATGAAAGACAAATGAATCTTCACAATTTAAAGTTTTCAAAGTCAGGAAATCATTACCATCTACATCCAATCCAATTTCAAGTTCTGCTCAGCAAAGCAGTACCTGAGAAATGAGAGTTACCAAGCATTTTCAGAATATAGTGCAGCTGTTGCACTATTACAAATGTGATTTTTTTTTTTTAACAGTTACCTGAGTAAAATCAAGAAGATGGTATAATTTTGTTTCTACTGTTGATTGAATAATCTTTACTTTTAATACAATAATCTCAGATCATTGAAGATGCTCTCTTTTCTCTGATAAAGTACTTCTCAAACTCGCAGATCTGAAAAGGCTGTGTGAATTATCTCTATTACAGAGCTCCCACACAAAGTGCCATAAGGAGATTTACTAAAGATTGACAGAGAGACTAGAGAGCTAGAAACAGAATAGATACCCAGAGTACAGCAATTCAGAGTTTTATTCAAGGCACTTCGAAGTAGGGCTTACCAATTTTTTAGGTTGAATTGAACAATAATTATTAAGTATGTATGATTTCAATACATGGAACAAATATTAAAGTAATGTGTTATTGAGGGACATTGGCTTCATGGTAATCGCCTACATACCCCACAGCAAATGTCAACAATTCAAGGTAGCTGACCCTTTAACTACTTTGCTTTAACCATATCACCACTACAGACAGTTATCTAGACTTTGGATGTAAAAGTACATCCGGTTTCCCCCCAAAAAAGGACAACATAAAACAACTAACCTTGTAACTTGTGTTAACTGTTAACCACTTATAAGTGAAGCAAGATAAACTGTAACTTCAGACACCCCCTTAGAGATCCTGAAAATGAGGCATGACCTTTAGTTCAGCTGCTCTAATTTGAACACCCCAACACAATCCACTGTCAAAACCTCACTTTTGTGTAATGAAAACAAACTGAAGTAGTAAACACAAGTTAACCCTTCTGAAAATCTTAAACCTAGAACCTTCAGAGATGTGTTTTGTGTTTTTTTTTCCCTTCATGTTGGAGCTAAGCAGTAGCTTTTGCAGCAAAAAAAAAAAGCACAATGAGTATGAGAGCTTCCATGTAGTAGTAAGGTTATAGGATATGAGTAATGCTGCTAGTGAGAAGCAACGGAATTGCTTTGGATCCCAATTGCTGAATTTAGTAGGTTACAATGTTCATTGAATTGAGTGAACTACAACAGTGTTTACAATTAACATGTACAACATTCCATCCTAGACAGGAAACGCTGCAAATGAGTATAATGCTGATTTAGGAAGTTAAGTAATTATGTAAGGAAGTAATTTTTAAACTGTACTTGGAAAGTATTTTCCAAGTACAAAAAAGTGTGTTCCATGTCACAAATACTGCTAATACACAAAGAGAGTAGCAATCTAGCAATCCACTACCTGTTCTAAAGCACAGGATGTTGATAATTACCCAAAGTTACATTACAACATAATGTAAGTTACATGACAATTTCCCCGATTACATTGCCAAATACAGTCTGTGTGGAGTACACTTCAAAGAACCAGAAAAAAACTCATAATTATTTTATGATTTTCTTCAGACAGCCAGTGAGAAGTCACTCATGCTGCACGCAAGCTAAAACAGGCTGATTTTTTGGTTTGTTAAATTCAGAAGTTTTTTTAAAAAAAAATACTTAGATCTTTGAGTCTACCTTTTTTTTTTTTTTTTTTTAAATTTACCTGTGAATTCACATACAAAATTCTAATTCACTTCTTCAGCAATGAAAAAGTAATAATTTTATCAGGACTAAAAAGGCTTATCGAAAAGTTAAAAAATACTTGTTCCTACCTCCACTTTTGTTCGGTAAAGAATGAGACGCTTTAGGCTGCCCACTTTGGCTATGTGGTTGAAAGCCTGAGGTGGTATTTTATCACATGATGCAAGATTTAATTCCTGAAGATTTGGACACGTTTCAGTAATGACCTCCAAACATGTTTCATTCAGGAAATGGCCACAAGACAACTCAAGACGAACGAGTTCAGAGCCACAAACTTTTAAGAACCTGCAATAAATCACATTAAGTGAAAAATAAATGTGCTTTCTAATGAAAATCTTTGAATACTGTCACAACTTTAACCATGAAAAACGAGAAATACTTTTTTCAGCAATAAGAATCCTACAGACCACAGTAATTATGCCACATCAATTAATTAACAGAAAACGTGATTAGGTTAAAGTAAATTATTCGTAACCACTCTGAAGAAATTACTTGTGAATCAAATTTGTACAAACTCAGAAGACCAAATTAATGAACTGAGAGATCAATATTCAAAAATGGAAGGTGGTCTGACAGTTAAGGCTGTTTCATCAACGTTTACTTATGCATCCTAGATATTATACTTTTTGACCATAAAAATCTTAAGAAACAGAAAGCTACATAATGCTATGCATGACAGAAGGACACTGATGTCACTAAAGCAGCCTTAAAGAAGCAATTGTACCTTGAAACCAAGTTGCAAAAGCATCATCTCAAGGGGAAAAAATAAAGGTTTGTTTAGGGAGGTATTTGTCAGTGACACTAAAGAATAATGGAGGACTTGATATCTCTTTGAAGATCCAAGCTTTCAAACCTTCCCTTTTCCTTATTTTTCACTACTCACTCAAATCTTACTTGCCATTTGTCATCACCCTTCCTGATTCCTTTCATCTTGCACATTACCCAGCTCCTGGGCCTTACTTTCATTATGCAAATCCTCTGCAACAGGGAAAGGAAAGTAGGTTCCAGGGGGAAACCTCCACCCCGAAGGTTTCCGAGAGTCTCCCGAGACCTCGACTGACCTGACCTAGCACAGGGAACAGCAGCACTTCAAGTGGGAGCTTGGAGAAGACAACCTTCAGAAGCCCCTAATACTCATGAGCTTTCACAAGGAGAAACAAAGACACTGAGGAAAGTCAGAAGCCCCATACCCATAGGGGTTTTCCTAAGCATGGCCTTCAAATCAATTCTTCAGTATTTTTAGTGCAACTCCGCTGTCTTCAGAATCTATTTTAGCTTGTAAGAATCAGAGCTTATCAAACACCAAGCACCTGTTTGTTGTTTTCATACCAGATACAGCGAATTCACCTGTAAGCTAGACTGGTGAGCTCTTACAGGAATGTCACAGCTAAAATGACATGACAGTTCATGACAATTAACACCAGAAATCTAAACATCAGACTGCTATTTTAGACCAGCAACAGAGTTCAACACTGTTGCGGAAAAACACAGGATGGAAATTCCCTGGAAATCAGAGTGCAGACATATGGATTCATTGCTGATTGCCAATTAGCCGATTCCTCTCTTTAATGAGTGCTTTAACAACACATTCACACAGCTTCTTTCATCAACAAATTATCAGGTTTGTTTGAATGGTGATATTTTCCATAAAACCTTGTCAATTGCCATTTATTATACCTCTAGCTTCTAATTTGCTAACAGATAAATATTTTATGAACTATTCCATTGCAATAATAGATGTAAGGTTAACTGCCACATAATTTGACAGGGCTTGGCCATTATAAATATTGGTACAGATCAACACTTCTCCTGTCACTATAAGAAGTTAACATTACCAGGTCAGAGAAACACAATATTAACCTCCTACACTTGGAAAAGAACTCAAAGCTCACCAGCTAGGAGAGTTATTATCCTTGTAACATTTTATTTAATTTCATTACACTTAAAACACACAGACAGCGCAAACAGAGCAATAGCAATGAGCACACCACTTGTTCTTCACGGCTTTACTGTCTTCCTGGAAAAGGTTCTTCAGGAGATATTACATAGAAAGTAAGGCAAGGGCGATAAGGGACACACAGCAGGGTACATGAACTGACAGGCACGAAACTGAAGAAATGAACAAAAATGGGAGGAGAAATTTGAGGAAGTCACCAACCAGAACAGGGCAGAGCACATTAGTACAAACTGCAGAGTTCTCCCATTGTTTGCACTTCATAGGCTGCTCAGGGCAGAGGTTTTTGCGAACTTCTTTCCATGCAGATCTCCAAAGCCATAAGGCAAGGTAGAACATGGGGTCTCAGGCTTCCCAACAGAAGTGTCATTGCCTTCATACTTCTCAGACTTAACAGATACTGGATGTCCGGCTGTGACTGGGCTCATTTGAAAACAGTCAACCCCTTCTATCCAAAGCAAGTATTTCTCTTCTTCACACACCTCTCCCTTTACTCACTGAAGATTGACTGGATCCTATTTACAGTATCTCCTCCTTTCTGCATAGTCATCCATCCCTTTAGTCTTTCTTTTACAAACAGTGCTTTATACGTGTAATTTCCAAAGTGATTTCCCTTTCACTCCCTTCATGATTGTTATGATCAGTTAAACAACCTACTGGAATCTGAACACTTACTTTAGTTTTGCTAGGCACTGGAACAGACCTCTCTACCTTTTAGTTCATCCTCATTCTAGACTACAGTATTTCAGTCTTTTGTTTGTTTTAAATAAGAAATCTCTTTTCATCATTCTGCTTACTCTCAAGAACCGTTGTTTGTCGTCTCCCAAGGCCAAGACTTTTTTGTTTTTCTTTTAAATGAAGTCCCATTGCCTCCCTCTAAACTATTCTAATCGTTAAAATGTTGTTTTCAAATCCAACATGTATTGAACTTTGTCATCAGATCTTAAAGCACTGCATTCAAGTATGGAGCTGAAGTATCTGATCTTGTGCTTTTCTGAACACAAATTAAGCAACTTCAATAAAAACATGCAAAATAAACAGTATTTAGTCTTTGCTTCAGTTACAGCAACCCCAGGGTTTACTAAAACTGTCAAAATTAAAAAACAGGTAGGAGTTTTAAAATGAGAATCCCTGTCAAATTGTACAATACTCATATTTTCCGTGACTATTAAATGCATGTTGCAGTAGCTACCTAACCTTCCTGCTAGTTTGATTCATAGCAAGCCATCACCAAGTCAAATGCTGTCAAAGCACACCTGTAATAAACATCAACTAAAGATTTCAAATTGTAATGACAACAATTGTTAAAGAAATGTTTCTGGATGTGCTTGAAATGTAAACATTGCATCACAACAGGGAAATTCTGCGAATTCATTCTCTCAGTATAAAATGTTAAAAGCAAATAAAAATCCTATCACCTTAGGTTTTTCAAGCAAAACAGCTTAAATAAGCCACATTACAAAAGATAAAGAAACCTGCATGCAGAACTCTGTTTTTAAAGCTGCCATCACCATTTAGATGTTTAAACGCCTGAGCATCTATTCAGCATCTTGGTATTTACTACCTCCAATTAACTCGCTCCACTTCTCCTATACAGGTCTTATCCTCTCATGCTGATATTCCCATTGCATTGACAAATTCACCACACCTCTACTGCCACGAGAAACAGTGTTGATTATGTAATATGTAATGCTTTCTGTGAAATCTTTGTTTATTCCCCGTCACTTTGCATTCCTGACATTTGATATTGCTCAAATATTTCATTGCATTTGTCTTTTACTTCTCTGCGTACTTTTAGTTCACTCTAAATCATAAAGTTCAGGTAATTTATATTATACGTTGATCTGAAAAATTTATGATAGTCATTTTTAGCCCTAAGGAATAGATGTTATCAATAAGTAAAAATACCTTCAGCTTTGCCTCAGGATGTTCATGCGCCTGAAGCATTCTATCTTCTCATGATAACACAGTATTTGCTTCAGTCACTTCTTAAATTACTCTTTAAAAAGTTTCTACTTTAATATATTTTTGCAAGAAAAAAATGATTTTTCTTTTTACAGTTATTTGTGTGTCACTTTAAAAGATGTAAGTACAAGTTACCTCTTTTAGGTGTCAGAAGAAAACAAATATAAACATTTTGGAAGATATTTTCCAAAATAAATCTCAAGCAAGAGTATCATTTAAACAAGCATCTACTAGCAGGAATTATAAGCTAAACAGTATAGTTGTGAGAATTAATCTAACTCCACTGGTTTTCAATTCAACAGTGACAATTTTAACACTAAGTGCTGAGAAAAATGTGCAAAAATATATAAAACAAAATAAAAAGAGGTTCTGCAAAAGTCAAATGCCTGTTATCTATTGAAGATAAGTTACTCTGGTTTTAGCATTTTCCTGATTTCATACTGCAGCAATTTATAGTGTTTATGAAGTATTTATAAATTTAATTTAGAAAATAACTTTTTCCCCCCGCTTCTCCTCAAATGGAGAAATATAGGCTAGCCTTAAAAATAACATAATGGAGCTCTTCAAAACAACTTCTACATTTCTATTTAAGTGACTTGACAGCCATTCATGGTTGTTTATACAGCAGCTTACCACAAAATGGATCAATCTGAAGTATCGGAACAAGCAATTTAGGCCAGTTTGAACTCAACCTAAAGTCACAAAACAACTTTTTATCAAGTAAATCCAAACTAAAAGACACAGCTTGTTACTCCACAGGACACCTCGCTGCCTTACTGAAAATTTGCTTTGCAGAAAGAGAGATGAACAACAATGCCAGGTTCAATACCAGGTAAGAGCCAAAAAGAAGGATGAAGAGAAACCATCCAACTGATTCAGAAGCATTCATGCAGTAGGCAGCAAGAGAAGATTTTACACTAATAAATGTAGTCATATATGTCCTCTACTATTACACATAGAGAGAGAAATATATAAGTATTTCATATCTTCAAAGGACAATTACAATCTGAAAGTGTAAGCAAGTTTTTTGGAAGATGTAAGCAATTAACTGATAAAACAAGCAATACAATCTCCCCAAACAACTGGTAACTTCTACAATGCTCATATTCTGAAGAGTACGTTAAAAAGAAAATTTAATTGTAAGACAGAATTCCTAGGAAAGTCAAAGTACCCCCAGTCTTTCGAAACTCTTGTTTAGCTAATAACTCTCCAAACTCAGGCCAGATGAGAAATATCTAAAAGTTCAAAAGGAGAAACTGTGGGAAGTCATGACTCACATTTCCTGGATTTTTCAATACCCGCATAATGGTGATATAATTATTTTAGAACAGCTGACTTCAAGTCAGTGCTGCTACTACGTCAGTAGTGAAGTTAAAACACACACACAATTTAGTTAAGAGATAACTGTTTAAACTAACAGGAAGCCAGATATGCCAGAATTGCAAAATTTGTAGTTCTCTGAGCTTAGACATTCGTTTCTTTTAATACTGCACAAAATTTTTAGCAGCACTGCACATTTAAAAAAAGAGTCATGAAAATGAAAAAAGGTCACACTAAGTTTTCAAAAACACATTTAATAGCTACACATCAGAAAACAAACTTCATGACATCAAATTCTCAGTTAAGCTTACATATTAGATACATTATGTGGAAAACAAATAAGAAATCCAGATTTAGGAAAATTAGGAGGAACATTTGTATCCCATTCAATTAATTGATGTTTATCTCCTTTTTCTACCAACAAGCACAAAAGACCACAGCATAGCGCTCTTGGATTATACTGTAAGCTCTGGAAAAAGGAAGTAAAAGTATTTCTTCAAATCATTTTACTACCCCAGGGAAGGCACCCAGGCACCAAAAGAAAGACAACATTTGAATACTTTTCAGCCTTTTCATTCAAAAACAAATGAAAGCTAAGACAATTTATGTTTTAGATATATTAAACATTTCTGTTTTTTATCAGTCAAGTTCACCTGCCACTGCTGATTATCTTAGTTGGAGCAGCAATTTTTGTATAAATGAAGTGCACTGGTAGATGCTGTTTAACTGATGCAAACAGCCAAAAAAGCAAGAAATTATACGTTAAGGAAGCAGAGAACATGGCTATTATACAGAGAAGAATCTCTGCATATTTGCTGCTTTAATAACCTACAGCATAGTCATATTTTCAACTCAGTGTGAAGATGCACACACAAACCTCCCATTTCCCAATGGGACAAATGTTTTAAATCATTTTTATGAAAATATTTGCATTTACATTGCACTCCAGTGATTACTTAGGACCCATACCTTGTAAGCATACACTGTAATCTGTTTATTACTGTAGTCCTACTGATGACTCAATCCGTGCATGGAACAACTGCAAAGATTTTCTTTGTAAGATGGACTTTCTGCAGCTTAGCTCTCAAGGAGTCTTTCAGAATTCCAGAAGAAAGCAGAGCACCGCTCACCACTGGAAGATGCCTCTCAGTCACTGGCAGTTTGAGGCATGCAAACTATATGCTGAAACAACAACTGCTTCCATATCTAGCTAAAACTTCTTGCTGTTTTAGCTGTTTGGTGTTTTTTGTTGTTTTTTTTTGGTTTTGTTTTACTCTACATAAGAACAGTTACAAACTTTACAGTAAATCAAAGACATTTCTTGTCTTTTAATAAGGTTTCAATCACTTTTCAATCACTTAGTGACAAACCTGTGCAGCAACTCCACAAAGAGAGCTTGTCAAAATAGTTTGTACATTTCCCACTGACCTGCTAAATCCAGAAACAGAAATGGCTCCCCTGTTTCCAGTCCAAGATAAATTCAGCCACTGGATGAGAGTGCAGCGAGACTGTAGGTATTCCAGAGACGTGTCATTAATTCTCGCCCAGTAAGGTTGTAAACTGAGATGAATGTACTGCAGAGGATCGCAGCAATGTTGATACAGTAGCTTACAAGTTTGTGCTAGTCTACACAGGTCTGGTACTGTAAGGTGACTCAAAATCAACTGGATGAGCTATATTAAAAACAGAGAAAAAAAAGGTAGATGGTCATACAGCACTTGAAATGCTAAGGCAAAACTGCAACAGAATAAAATGTGTTCTAACTTCAAAGTTGTTTTTTTTTTTTTTTTTTTAAGTTAAAAGTAACTTCTCAAATAAATCACTGATTAGCTATTAAATAGGATTGCACTGCCTTCTCAATTTGACAACATATTAAACAAGAAAGGAAAAAGCAGATCAGCATATAAAAGTGACAGGAAGCTTTCAAATTAGAAGTTTGTTTTTTTTTTTTTACCCATGCTAATTTAAACAGCGATATATATGTAAACACTATGTTTACATATTTCCCTTCACAATGTCTGCACTTCCATTGATCAGAACACTGAATTGGCATCCTCTTTCTTCTCTGGATTCAGTTAAGATGGTAGCATATCTGCAGAGTACATGAAAATCATACCACGTCCCAGTTTCCCCACAGCTTGAACTAATTTAGGATTTATTCCTCTGCTCTAAAAAAAAAAAAAGTGTTTTGATTTCCACCTTATATTTCCTCCCCATTCGTGCTGGACTATGCAACTAGATAAAAATTTCAACACATTCAGATCTTCCTTTATCAAGTAATCTCTTGCTGTAATATTTTGAGAGCATTTTTGTTCTATGCCAGACTCGAATTTGAAATGCAAAACCCCTTTTTACCTTTATCAAATTGAATCACCTCAGCTTCAGAATAACCACCAGCCCTTCTCACTAGCACCACTATATACATTTTTTAATGAGTTATCTCACACTAAGAAGAAATATCCCGTCTTCTATCATGCTCTGGTTTTCCTTCTAGAGCAAGATTAACAAATACAGAAATACACACAAATACTCACTTTTGAAAATAGCAAAAACCTTCAACAAAAAACCCACCCTGCCCTAACTTAGATACCTGAGAGAAAACACACCTGAAAAATTAAATATGAAAAGTAATGCTTACTTTACTGTGGCTGCCTTTAACAGCTGTAAGCACCTGCACTCAGGTTATGTAATTAGAAGTGAACAATCACTTTCAAGCAGAGTGGGGGAAAAAAACCCTCTACATTGATTCACTGATTTCATTCAAACAAAAAAAAAAAAATAGCTTAAACCAGGGAGAGTCCTGTGGCCCTTTCAAAATACCATGTTTCATTTTAATTTAAAGACTCATAAGACAAAACCATCAAAAATTGTAATAAAATGCCTGACATAAAACCAAAGTGAAGCCTTTTTCCAAGCAGACTGTACATCTACAGTAACAATTTATGCAGCTAGCTTCCACCTTCCCTCTTCCCCTCTACTTTTGGGAGAGGAAAAAAAATAAGTAAACAATTCAATTTCCTGAAAAGTGAAAAGTGTTACTTCCTACTCAGCTCCAGATTTAGTATTTGGATATCAAACACTCCACATATCTACATACTTTTCAGAAACTTAACATAAAATCCAATGCCAAAACATTGTGCTTGCATATACTCAAGTTTCTCTCAAGCTTGATTTCATGACTTTCCTCTTCCCTTCTCCTCCATTTTCCTTGCCCCTAAAAATACTCCTGTTTTGTTTTTTTTTACCTCTGCGTCAGCTTGATACTGTGGATCAGAGCAGACATTTCAATGTAATAGCAATGAACTGCATATACACAGCACAGTTAATAAATTATAATCAAAGTCTGCTCCCAGCTGACATTTAGGTTGTTAGCATTTCAGTAGGAGACACATCAAACTAGGAGCTAATGTAGATATGATCCTAAGTTAATATTTTGATTTTTCCTTTGCTCAGACTTCTGTTTTGCCTCATCTTAAAAGACTAACACCATTTTGGCTTTGCAGTAGGATATACCTAAACACATACACATTTTTCTTAGACCACCTTTAAACAATTTTTCAATATTCTGAAAGACACTTTCCAACTGCTTTGCAACCTTCAGATATCCTGCATTCTGTAAACCAACTAAATATCTTGCATTTTCTCCCTCAGATTTGTCCAATATTTATTAGGTTTTCTAAAACAAACAGCTCAGCAATGAAGGCTGCACAGTTAGCTAGATTTATGTCTACAATTAATGTGGTGTAATAAATGTCTCATAGAAAGCAACACAAATTCTGTTCAGTGGAAAAAAGTTACTTTGTGATTTCTGAGCAGTAAAGATAATGGTGAATGGAACTATAAATGCCTCACCAATGTTCCTTTATGCTAACTGATGACTGCAATGGGTCTTTTGTAACATAGAGGACATTGCAACCCTACTCGACCCAAGATGAAATATCTAGAATGAAAAAAAAAGAAGTATCACTGAAAATAAAGTTTTCTTGATTTTGATTAAACAAATATAACAGGTCCCAAATCTACAGGCTAATAACCAGTAATCACTGTTAGTATGGACTGTCAGAAATTTATGTAGGTGTATCCTAGCATAACTTAAAATTTGATAACATTAAGTATGCGACATGATGTGCTGCACTGCGCTATGCTGTGGTCACAGTGATTCTATGAACATCACAGAATTATGTGCTTTGAAAATAGATCTTATAACACTGCTTCCTGCAAACAACTGCTTTTATTCTGCATTTATGAAAAATTACTGCAACTATTGTTTCACTTTCTTATAAATCAGTCAAAACAATGATCACTGCAAAACAGAGGAAAACAAAATATAGCTAATTCAACACTGATTGATCTATCAACAGCAAAAATCAAATAAAAAGTACTTTCTCCCATTTCCAGGTAAAACACTGCACATACCCAGTTTTAGAGATACGAGGAGATCAATAGATGTTGGAGATAATATCTAAAAACTGGAGGCTTCCAAATCGCCATTTGCTGAGTTGTAGGGAATTACAATATACAAATTCACTGCACTATCTACACACCAAAAGGATCCTGAGTCTTATCTGCCTTTTTTTTTTTTTATCATCATAGTCTTTCATTGTAGCACCTTAAACATTTCCATATATTTTGAATTATAGATTCAAAAACACAACATCTTTGAAAAACCAAATAAATCTCACCTATTGCATCCAAGTTTGCTTGTAAGCTCAGGCAAAATCCCAATCACACACTTCAATGCACAGGATAAAAATTAACCAGGGGTGCAGCTTCTAGTAGTGCTTACCAACCAAGAAGTTTTTATTAAGAATCGTAGCAAGCAATCACTTATATCCAATAATATTCTTTCTTTGGTTATAGTATGATAATGCAGAACTTGACATGGTCAGAAGACAGCCCTTAAATACTAGTCAAAACTAACACTTCCACACTTCCTAAAAATTTCCTCCATCAATCCTTCTATTTGAGCTCTTCCAATATGAAAACACATTGGCCTAAACTATAATTCAGAAAGACTTAAATTATTTGTAATTTTTTGTTCTGCAACTAGATCTGCCACAGCTTAGGCTCTAAATAATTAGAACTGCTATTATGACATGCTTAGATAAAGGATGAAGGGTACATGTACAAAAAGGAAAAGAAAGAAGGCAGGAGTAGGTAATAAACATTCTGTGGCTTTTGATATTCCTCAGCATGGTTTAAAAAAATGTAGTCCCTAGTTTCATGATCCCATAGCTTGCACCAGCAAACACATACACACTTAATAGCTTATGTGAATACATGAAAAGTGGACCTTGCAACTATTTTGCAACATTCCTTTTAAGTCTTCCTTTTCTTCATTCTGCCCACATAAAATGCTTCGGTGTTGCATAAAATGCAACACAAAAGCACAGGCTCTGATCTCCTCAGCAATGAAAGGCTGTGAAGGTTTTAACCCCCCTTCTTGATTCCAAGAACAGGAAAGCATCACACTGACAGCCTGCACAAATCATCAAGTCTCCAGAAGACCAGGGCTGTAGAGCTGTCTTCTCCGTGTGCCGTTGCTCAGAGCCTAGTCTGCTACGGCAACTGGCAGTGCATTAGCCATTGACTGAAGGGAATCTTGTGCCATATGGTTATCAGCTGTTAAAGCAGCTTTTAAGACCCTTGTGCGATTCTCAATTCAAAGAGAGGCATAAAATCTTACCAATTAGCTGAAAGCCTACAAATATTTGTTCTGGAAAGATGCAAGAATTTTGTGATAAAATGCTCCTTCTTATTGCTTCAGTTCTTTTAAGTATCACTTCAGGGATGTATGTTTTACATTTAAGACCAATTTTCCCGGAATGTAAGTGCCAAATCCATATCTAGTGACAAAATTCACTTCCCAGTAGACAAAAACAGCTCATAAATCTTTTAGGCAGATTCAGGAAAAACTGGCTTCAAGGAATGATGAAAGCTTCGTTCATACCTTTTTGTATTGAAAATTTATATCAAAAATGTATTTTGGACTGCAGCATGCAAGATTTCTCCTGCCCTTCCTCCAGAGGAAGGAAGTTCTTGGTACCTGGAGCATCTAAGTGAGTCTCACACTGCACAACAGGTATGCTGTGGCAGGTATTTCTCCAATTTCTTGGAGCCCTGCTTCAGGACTTCAGGTCTCAAGCATGTCTACAAAGATGACTAAGACTAAGGCCTTACTCATTCCACTTTACAAGCAATGCAAGTTGATCAAAGATAATGGGGAGAAAGAGACATGAAGAGGCTCCTAGAAAATCCTTACTCAAATTTAAGCTAATTTTGGAGAACAGATGATGAAAGCACAAGTACTCTACAGCTACTAAGGATCTGTCAACACTGCCCATGAGCAGGGAAGGAATATTCTCTCATCCAGTTCATCACCTTCTTCTAAGGAATTCTACACCCCGGGAGCTGAGCATTATTCTCTTGTTGGCAGAAGCTAACTGTACTATGACAACGTTTTTAGAGCACACACTGCAGCAATCAATCCCGAAGAGCAACATAGATTATGCTTTCATAGACTACAGAAGTTTCAGAAAGACACTGAAGGCAAAACAAAGACTGGAAGAACTGTCGTCTACTTCATGATTAGCATAGAAGACCATTCGGCTTACATATTTTGTGAATTATGTTGGGTAGAATGAAGAAGCCTGAAACAGCTCAAATAAGAAACAGCCATGTATGAAGACTAAAGACAGTTGCACATTCATAATCAGCATGAGCCTACAAGAAGAAAAATTTTTCATGTAACATGTCATAATCAAAATTGGAAGGAGTCGGTGGTTTCCTTACTTCATTGCAGAATTCAAACACTTCCAGAAAAATCTGACACTTGTCATTCTTGAAGACAGCATGCAGAGTACTGCTCCCATATCAGATGGGATAAAACACTGTCATACTACAAAGCACAACATTTTTGTTGCTTCAATACCCAAGCATTCCAGCTGGATCAAGAAAGCAGAAAACTGGTACTGCTGCTGTCACAAAACCAGTCCAGAAATACCTCTTTGTAGTTTTCTGATAACTATTCTAGCCATTCAGGTTCTTTAAATCAAAGCAAAATAAAAAAAAATGTGCTTGTATTGATAGACCATATAAATGCATTCATGAAACCAAACGTTAAAAAATTGATTAAAAAGGTAGCTGGTACACAAAAAGGAAAGCAGAAAAGCACAATAACACACATGGAGGCAGGAGTTCGAAGGAGTAACAGGACTACACATTATAATTACTTACACTATAATCTTGATAATCTGTAGAATTATGCAGAACAAAAATGAGATTAATCTCAGATAGGCAACTATTATAAAGCAGTTTATCCAGTCTTTTCAAACAAGACTGCCCAGATTTAAATCAAGTTTTCCCTACAATTAATATTGTTGGAATGACAAAGATTTCAAACACATTTACACATTTTAAGATGTTCTAGACTCAACTACGCCCTTGCACATGCAGAAAACTACTTTCTTTACTCCAGTACAGATATACAAGCAGCAACAGTGAAATATATTGACTGCTATATGGATTCTGTGGAGGAAGAAAACAGTAGTGCTAACTCACGATGAGGATAGTATCCTCATCTGTTATTCCACTGTAGCAACAACAAATAAGCCCTCAAGAACTGAAATAAGCTTTTAAAAGAAGATAAATACACAGGAGAAAGACAGAGAATCGTCATATTCTTGTCCTGTTTCGTCTTTACAAGCAGAACAGAAGTCCTGAAGATTACTAGAGCACACAGGCATCCAACATGGCCTTCAGCTGCTGAACTAGGGAGCTTAGAAACAAAAGACATAATAAAAACAAAATACTGTTTTGTTAGATCACACATTTCTGAAAATGCCCTGCAATCAGTGACAGTATCTCTCACCACCCTCCTTCACTTTCACAACTGAAACTGATTCAAGACAGAAGCACCCTGAGCATTTGATATGTTACCTCAGAAAACAAAACCTGGCTTCTTTTGCCAGCCTGCAGCAGCCTAAAGGGTAGGAACAGGACCCGAGGTCTGACCAGCAAGTAAAGACTCCTCTCCCCTACATGCAAACCCAGTTTGTTTCTGAGGAGGTGAAGGTGACCATCTCTCTCTTCCTGCTCTATGATACCAGTCTCTGTGAATGGCTACACTCCAGTAAGAGCTTCCAGGTCAGCACACAATATTCAGCAATCATATTTCCAGCAGTTCCAGGTTTTTGTAAGAAATCAGGAAAAGAAACTAAGCCAATAAAATATTTGGAAGCAAAAAAAAATACACATTCTTTTTCCATTTTTTTCCTGTATCATCTTTGTCAAATATAAGGACTAAAAATTATGTGTCTGTACTACTGGAAAACTGGTGGAAGATTCTAAATTCAAGAGCTAGAAGTTTAAGGCTAGAATAACTGGCAAAAAAAGTACATCAGTGGAGGGATTCCTGAGAAATAAGTGTTGCAACAATGTAAGCACCAGCAAACTGACTTGTTAATATCCACCCACTGAAGCAGACAGACTATCATAACTCAGGCGTAACTATTCTATAACTGCAGGAGACTCACAAAAGAATGCAAGGAACTATAACTGGAAAAAACAACAGTCTTGGTCAGTACCTTATATAGAGCACTTTCGCACTCAATTATTAAAACAACTGTATTGGAGCATAAACATGCTTTTCTTACCTCATAAGGCAGTTTGTCAAAATACCCATTAGTCGGCCATTCCCTGAGGGTAACAACGCTGAACTGTTTGTTAAGAGCGTCCATTCCACAGCCATACTTCTCTTCATCCTCATCTTCATCAATATCAGTCATATCAATCATTGAAGTCTTCAGTGAAAGCACGGGTTTCTCTTTCACACCATGTAGTACTACTGCATCTAATTCAGTGTAATAATCTAGAAGAGAACTGTTCACTTCCAGTCGAATTAAGTTCGTGGGGAAGTTTATTTGTTTGATACAAGGTGTGAACTGCCGAGCCTGGGGACCACTCACTTTTGTAGGTGCCTCAGACCAAAGGATTTCCCATCTGTGAAAAAAATAATAATAATGGGCACAAGTAAGGGATTGAGATAAATGTAACTAAACCAATTTCTGAACACAGAAGAGTGATTTTGTCAGAAGCATTCAGAAAGCAAGAAACATGGTTGAAAGGCAAATGAAAATTGTTACATTTTTCCCTAGCCTTGGTAAACATCCAAAGAATGAATTTACCAGGTCACACTAGTTCATAACCGTAGCCTATTTTCTCTGTATTGCTAATTAACAAAATGAATGGTACATTCATTGCCATGCACTTGTGTTAGACTACTGCTATACACGTTCCAACATCTCACAGGTGAGGTTATTGCAACAAATGGACTGAAGATGTCTTGACAATGATCGTATGTTAGTACGCAGGGAACAGTCTCGTCAAGCAACTCAACTACAGTCAGCCAACCTCACAAGGTTTTCACAAAAACACAAAAGGGGAAAAAAAAAAAACAAACAAACCACACAGCTCTCACTCATTCACATCACGGTGGTCCAAACTGCAGCATTAACAAATCCTTTTTTTTTAAAAAAAAAAAAAAACACCTGTACTTTATCTAACCAGGTAAGCAAAATACCATTTTTAGAAGCATTTCATTGTCAAATTATCTCATTAGTACAATGTTATGGTTAAATATCAGAGAAAATAGGATCTTCAGGTCATCTTTAAAAGGGCCTTTTGCAAAGAATATTAAAATTTCAAAACTGATCAACTAAAACATTTTAATGCTCTCTGTTCTGGTGACAGAAGGCGGCTCAGGGCATGCACAGAGCTTCCAAACATACATCCTCACTTGTACACACAGACCTCAAATCTCTTCCAGTAAATGACAGTGAACCCTGCTGCCAACTGAGTAATCTGGAGAATCAAGTCTTATATTCATTAGGTCTTGAGTGCTCCCAAGCTTGTCAAAAGGCCTGAAAACAGAAACACGCTCTTTATATGTGCATGGGTCCTCATCCAGTGAGAGGATTTTGGAGGTCCTTCGGTCACTGATGCCCATCTTCTCCTCCCCTCTTCCTCATCCTTAAGTCTAGCTGATTAGTAAAAAAGGAAGCCTCCAGCAGCCACTCGCCCTTTGACGTTACACTTACATCAATCTCCGTACACTCCCCATGCAAAACCCAGACACTTCCCTATCTCTTCCACCTTTCGTATCAGCCTGGTCCCAGCTTCAAAGACGTGTCTCAGACTGTCTTATCCCACAGGTCTCAGAGACACTGGGTCTGCTTCCTAGTACCTCTGCTCCCCCTAACAGAGACCACTACTCTGAGCTCACAAGTGCTGTTCAACACTGACATGTACTACAGAACACACAGGAAAAAAATCAAACATGCTTTGCTTTCCAGGTCCAAATGCCTAAACTCTGGCCATCATAAAGTAAAACATGTAAAAGGACTTCCATTAAACATAACACAGTATAAATAAGCCTTAGAAGCTTGATATTTGCTCACATTTCAAGGATAGGAAAATTATTCCATAATGGCTGAAACTTCCATTTCACAATGGACATTTTCAGGTATGCACAGATAAATTTTCCTATCCTACATCATGCCACTCTCCATGAATACCTTACAGAAGAATAGGAGGCCTGAAGAAGTCTTCTGTCAAAGGAAAAAAAATATAATGAACTAAAACCAAACATGCAGGATTGGAGAACATATGGAACATCAGCAAGTACCAACACACTAGAGTGGACACCTCTGCCATAAAATTAAGAGGTTTGGTGGTTTTTTTGTTTGCTTTTTCTGAAACTTATACTATGAATGAAAATGTCATTAGTTTAGGAGATGAATGTCAACTCATGGAAAAATACAACAGACATAGTTCCACTGTCACACCCTCTTCCATAGGTCGATGCCCTAAGCAAATACCTAATGTTGGCATTGCACATGACCTTTCTTGAACATACCCAGATGACCACCTGATATTTTTCTTAGACACTTTCTTATACCCACTCAAACTATCCTGAGGGAAACTCAAGACTGTATTTTCATTAACATACACTGTACTACCAACTTTTAACTGAACATGTCTTAGTTACTGACTTCTCCTCTGGTGCCCTTAAGAAAGGATTAACTAGCAGTAGCACTGAAAAAAAAATACATCTGCAGGCCCTACATTCAAATTGCAAAGCAACCACCTCCTTCAGCAAGTACTGCCTTCAGCTCCCAGCCTTTGTAATAAACTAGAGAACAGTAAATGAAAGACACATAACAGAACTTTTTACAGTCTTGTGAAACACCACATTACAAACCTGGTGAACAAGGCCAGTGACTATTTTTCCACTGTCCTCATCACACTGCTTTCTTTTTCATCAGCAGCCTACTAACCCATCTTTAAAGGAGTCAGCTGCTGGTTTAACTAGAAAACCTCAAGTCCACAAGGTTGCTTTTGACATTATTCTCTCCCTTGGTGGCATCACACAGAAAAACAGGCCATAGTAATTGCTCTGAGTCAGGGTTGGTATATTCTTCCCTAGCGTAAGCAATCTCTTAATACATCCATTGCTGCAACTGGAAGTGGTCTCTTCCTCTAGGATCTATGTATCAATGAACCTTGACACTTCAACAGGCTATGTGCAACAGGCTTCATTAAGAACCGCATTTCTGCTGTTCCGGAGCATTTTTCATTAAAATCATCTGCTTCAAAACCCTTTGGAAGAAAGGCATTTTGACAGTCAAGTTCTGGTCTAAGGATGTATATCTTATTAGCTTCACTAATCAGGCTGCCTGCATTTGTTCTAAACTTAAGATCCTCCAGAATCTATTTAACCCTAGACAAAAAGAAATTGAATCCCAACAAACACCTGAATAGAAGTCAAAGGAAATTTCCCTATTTCTCCCTCTTTGAGTTAATTAGGTTCTCTGAGCTCTCAAAACTCAAGCTGAATCAAATGACTGAAGATAGGACATTGTTTGTCCTCAAGTCTTGCAGATGTACAGTAATGGCTGATCAAAAGAAGTTGCAATGAGAGTGCTTTGATAATAAGCTTTTAACCAGGCAACGTGCTGAAGACTCAGCCTTTACACTGCCATGCAAAGTCTGAGAGGCAGTCAGATCTGTACTGTTTTCTCTACTGAGTAAAGGAAATGAGGACTTTAGCCAAGTTTTTCCATTCAGCTTTAATGAAGTCCATTATAGGTTTTTCTCTACTTCATGAGAATATGTAGGAACTTGTCCTGCTCAAATTTCTGAAGCCAAAGACTCCATATGCTTCCATGGGGGATGAGACATGACAAAAAAAATCTCTCTCCTTCCTTTCATGAAGGAAAAATACAGCCTAATGATTGTCAAGTTGAGAAACAGACTGGCAAGGTTTGTGTCAAGCGACAGCACACATTTACTGCTGGTTTTTTTTTCCTGTTTGAAAGCTTTTATGCAGAAAGGGAATAGCTATGATTATGTCTGAGTAGACCTGGTTACTTCCTTAGAAAATACATAAGAAAGATCTTTTGGAAAAGTGGCTCCTAGGACAAGTAAATCATGAGACAAGATTAAACTTTGCCTGCAATCTACTGGGAAGATTTCTTGCATAGTAAAATTTAGATTAGGGTAGAAAGTGAAGGAAGCAGTGGGTGACCCTCAAGCACAAAAAGTGCCCTTTCCCAAGAAATTCACAACTCAGAAGGCTACTGACTGTCACTTACCTGTGATGGTCATCTGGACAAGAGAAAGGTCTGTTTTCCCTGAAGATGTCAGAACAAGAATAAGGATTCAAATGGCTAAAAGTTAAGTTGTGTGTTAGACATAGATGAGATACAGCCCTGAAGGTCCCTTACCACCCTCTAATGTGTTCATAGTATTAGTAGTGCTTTGGGTGCATTCCTCCAGGATTCACAAGGAACAAAAGGCAGAGCAGGAAGAAGCATCTGAATGCTGCTGTCTACAAGCAAAACACCCATAAGACAACGCTACATTTCCAGTTTTACTCCCTTTATCAGAATGTGAGACTTATTTATTTGTTAAATCAAAGACATCTGCCAGCAAAGAAACCTGCAACATTCATATCTGGATTTGGCTTCCAGAGACAGAGCTCATTGCCTATATACAATGAAATTCCTAAAGGATGGAGAGGAAGCCCATCTCTCTTCCTTAGTCTGCTCTTCTGGTTGCAGCAGCTTTACAAGCTTCAGCACCTTCAGAAAGAGACCTCACACACAGCTAACACAGCTAAGCCTGAAAATACTGAGCCAGGCTGTTCATCTACGAAATCAATCTTGAAATTTTGTTCTAAAGAACATCTAGCAATATTCTAAACAACATGAAAAAAATAAGTCAAAAAGACGTAAATGGCAAGACTACAGCAGACAAAATGGTGCCACTGGTCGTTCTGGAACTGCTCCCAGCCAGTAAAATAATTACCATCTCACCTTTGAGAAACAACCTATTTCATATCTGTGGAAAACAAGCCGGGGAAGGGGAGGTGGTTCAAAACAAGCAACAACAACAACAAAATCCTAGTCTACTAAAGAAGCAATCATCGCATAACAGTAAAGACATACTGTGAAACATCACCCCAAGTACTGCCACACATCCCAGATGAGTTAAGAAACTGTTTCTGGAGCTTCTATAAAAACACGTGAATGTGGTATCACTATAAAGGTACACAAGATAAGAGAAACTGTCAAATTAAGTTAGAAAGAGACCATGACAAAAGAATGGGGACCATTTTTTCTTTTATATTCCAAATTTAAAAATCAAAGTTATTTTCGTAAAAGGAAAAAGTTGAAAAACTTCAGAAAAAATTACTTCTGACTTGAAAGCTCCTGTTTAAACACACAAAAGCTCTTACTGTTTGACAGCAGCTAACAAAGTATTAGGAGCATCAGAGTGTTTCAAAAGGGTTGATACTGAAGAAGCCGTTAGGGAATTGTCACGACTAAACCTTCTGGGTAGATGAAGAAAAAGGAACAAAAAAAGCAGACACTGCCCTCGTCACAGAAGCTAGTTATATCCTATCCATCAATCTAATACACAATGAGAAACAAAACATGAGGTCTCCTCCTTGCTTGGGCTCAGGCTCACACCTCTATCAGCTGCAGTGCCCCCAGTACAGCTGTGTGGAGCTGCCTCTTCTTCAGACTGAAGAGGGACCCACCTTTGTCACCAAGCCCAGACCAAACACTTGCATGTATCACAGGACAAAACCTACATGCTCACCATTGAGCGAGTATAACCATTGCAGTGTCAAAAAAAAAAAAAAAAAAGGAGGGGGGGTACTTCTTCACTATAATAGTGCCCTTAATCTCACTTTGGTAATTTTTGCTTGGATTTTCTGCACTCAGCTAATTCATTTAAGAAATCTGCACATAGATACTACCATATGGTTGTACAGTTTAACAAGTTACCAAAATTAAGAATACTTCTCACCAGCAGAAGTATGAGTAGCACTAATGAAAAGCACAAAAACGTCTCCATGTGTAAAGACGCATGCTTCTCTGACATTTATGATTTTCAGAAGTTGTTTTATGCAGAGGTGAGTGATATAATGTTTTCTGTTTTTAAAGCAGCACAAGATGAGATGACAATACTCAATTCGCTGGAAACTGTGGTTAAACTGAGTTTAAGCATTAGTTAGGCAGAATTACATTCAAACCTGAAAAATAATTCAATGCTTTCTCCTACTCAATGAAGAGTTGATCCTACCCATAAAAAGACTTAAAAAATAAAAAAGCTGTGATTGACAGAAATATCCAATTTACCACCACCACAGGAACACCACTAAAGACCCTTTTCTGAACACATGCATAAGTCATTCTTTGGTGTCACTGAAGTACAGATCAAGCAACAGAGCAACCTATGAGCCAACTATATGGGCTATAGGCATTTTCCTACAAGGATATGTAAACCACCTCTTAAGCAAGAACTGCGGTACACCAAGCCTTCACAGAGCCTCTTGTGGTTTAGGAGCTTTTGCACACAGCAAAGTCTTGCATGTGCTGATGTTTTAAATACTGAGCAAATAAAAAAATATTATCCAGCTGGCTTAGGATAATCCACTAAGCAGAACATTTCCACTAAGCATAACATTTAAACAAGTCTCAGACTTCTTACTCTCACAACAGGTTTGATTCCAGAATTTGGCCTCCTTTCTATTTCAAAGCAGAAGCTGCTGAAAAGGAACCTTTTCGAATAACCTGCCCTTTCTGCAGTGGTGTTCAGAAGAAACAAACCAATAGCCAGCAAATAAAAACCTGTAAGTGCTGGTTTGTTTTTAAATCAGGTGATTTAAAAGCATTACAACAGTCAGAAAGAAGAACACAAAGCTCTGAAAGCCCTCTGAGTAACTGAGGCATAGCCTCCTAAGGAAAAAAAATGCTGTGGTAGTTCAAGTTCAACACGTCTGTCAAGCACTGAATCACCTGAGATTATCAACAGCATTCCTACTTCCAGAATGTTATTCTTAGTTGGCATCTCAATTTTTGAAAGGGAAAACAAGGGAAATTAAGCAGAAGACATGTTCTTGTAACTCTTCATATTCCCCTCCCACAGGTGCAGGAAAGGAAGGAGAAAAAATCCTGCATACATCACGTGGAAAAAGGGTTCCTTCACATTATGCATAAGACATTTGTATCTTTCAGAAGTAGGAGACAAACCAAAGGTACATTTCTGAACAGCCAACTCCTACTGAGGAAAAGTACAAATCCCTCTAGCGCTGCTCTAGCATCAAGACCATGAAGTTACTGAAAACATAGAACGGACAACTGGTCCCAAGGCTCGCTGAGACTGCTAGTCTTCTAAACAAAAATAACACTAACCTACAGTAAGCAGAACAGGAAATACTTCTGCCTACAAAGAAAGACAGGGTCCTACAAAAATTCCATCCGTTCTTATGAAAAAAGGGTAAGTCCGGACTCGTAGTCTAACCACATTTCAAGGGGATAACGAACATCCCAAAGTTTTTAACGAGTATTTTCTCTTCTATTTTCTTCTAGCTCTCTGAACATTTTTTTAGTGCACCTTACTAACAGCTCCTTCATTTAACATTTCTTAAGCTTTATTTTTTTTTTTTTTATTTATTGGTCTTTACACAGAATTGGGAAGAGTTGTGTTTTATGAACCAACAACTAGTTAAGCATTTTTAAGACAGCATTTTTCAGAATTATATCCTTGCATTGCACTGCAGCATACTATCTTCTTATATTATGAAGTTAGAGGAATAATTGCTACATTATTAAACACGTAAAATTAAAGTTCACAGAACAACTGACCAGAAGTCATTTCACATTAGGTTCTAAGTTCAAGAGTCTTAAATCTATCCGCCCCCACACAACCCTATAAATAACTTCTGTATTAGTGCCAAACACATTCCTACTTCCTAACATACGCCTGTCCTTACTAGCTTGACCTATCACTGCTCCTCCAATTCAGATGTTTACTTTAGAGCTACACAGTATCTATTCATTAGAGAGCTGGAAAACAAACTTACTAAACAGTAGATGACACAAACACACAGAACAGATTCATTGAGAGTTCTTATTACATATACAACACCTGATTTTCTAAGGTTTACAAAAAAAACATCAGTTGCCTAGTATGCTGAAACATGTTTTAGGTATACTTTTATTGCATATACCAATAGTTTTCCTAGTGTTTTTTCCCCAACTCTGTGCTTTCACGTGTTCTCTTTTTATTTCCATACTTCCTCACCATGAGCTTCCCACCTTGCTTACAGCATTTTTCTTCATCTTTTTACTACTCTCCAGGCCCCCCTCTTCCTGATCCCTCACCCCCTACCCAAAATGTAATCAGGAGTTCTCACTATCAGAAAAAAACAACAGGACCAAGGGGGCTGCTTTTCACACCTGTGGAGCAAATAAAAAAATCAAGTGCTACTTACACTCTTTGATTCAACCAAAAATAAAGATCAGACAAATGGCATCACCTTTTGTCTGACCATTCTATACTTCTGGTTTTGGCCTCATTTCCAAATGAACAGGTATAGTTCCCAATTCTAATATACATATACACATACACAACCTAGGGCATTCAGAGAGAAGTTCATGGCTACTTGAAGCAGGCCAATAGTGCAGCCACAAATCCTCAGTCTTCTGGACAATTTTCCTTTCTTACTACAGAAAGGACTCAGAACTGCCACTTCACAAATGATTTTGGATATACATAATTACTGCTCGTAAGAATTCCAACAACAACAAAAAAAAAAACCTCTCCTTACTCAAATTAAATCTGATATAAGGATCTGGATTAACTCATGCTACAAAAGAAAAATCCAGATCTCTTCAAGTTGCTACCAAAACATGTCACCAGTCTTAAACTTACACGGAAATAAAGAAAATCTCAGTGGGTCAGAAATGAAATAGAGAAATACTAATAAGCAAAGTTTGCTAAACAGCATTATTTGTAGTATTTAACATTTTAGAGAATAGAGCAGTGCTCTAAAGTACAGAGAAAAGGAAAATTTACCTTACTTCAGCTGGTGGGTTTTGTGAGTAAGGATTTGCAGAGCATGCCAAAATCCGAACTACAGCTCCGGGATGATATGTTTCCAGAATGTGCACTGCGGTAGGATAAACTTGCTCCTCAAAAGCGAGTTCCACATAGTCTTGGCTGCAGAAGGAGGTGGGCGTCCTCTTGAAGGGCAGTCGAGCACTAGGACAGTGATCCCACCAGGTCCCGTAAGTTCGAAACACAGCCGTCTGAGTAAAGTCACCGGAGCTAGGGTACACGTTTGGTATACCTGCTAAATTCCACATGGTATATGACATGCTGTTTTCACTACCATAATGGGAGCTGAAATCCAACACTTCTTTGGCATACTGAACTATTTCAACATTGATAGGTAAGGCCCGGGTGTTCGATTCAATAGCCCTTCGGCTATTCATCTCTCCTCTCGTAGCTGTCCTAGCTCGGCGCCGAAGGCACATATAGTAAAACATGCTCAGCACTGTTAACATGGGAAACACTGGTGACATCTAGATACGACTTACGAAGCTGCAAAAGGTCAGGAGTCCTTTATAAGGTGCATTAACTGCTTGTGGTGTTTTGCAAAACAGCTGACAAAACAGAATGAATAAGCAGAGTGAGCAGATGAAATATATCTTAAAACATGACTTTACTCTTTTGAATATCCTCTTAAACAATGTACTGCTACTAAAACATTAATAAACTATCACATTTTATGACAATTATTTCTTTGTAGGCTACTAAGCATGGCTTCCCATTTATTGCATTTAAAAGAGAACGCTGTGAAGAAACATTAACTAAAACCAACACTCAAGTAACAGTAACACTAATAGTTAAAATAAGTATTGTTTTACCGGGACTTATTGAGAACAAAAAACATCCTGTACTGACTCATGAAAATGAAGTCAAGTATAAAATGACATCTGGCCCTTGCAGTAAACAACTGCTGTAGAGTTTGTGATTAACTATAGATAATTTTAATGATGATAATCTGCAGCATAGTTTTAAAACAATTAAAAGAAAAGTTCTTAAGAAAGTACTCGGGTACATGGGCAGGCTGCAGCCATACACAGCTCAACAAAACCTAATTTACTTCACTGCTTGTATTCTGCAGCAAGACTGCTCCCAGCAACCAAATCATTTCATTTAAAGTTAGCCCAACTATATCTAGATTATAATGTCATCTGGAGAGTAAATACACTCTTCAAAGACAACTTACATAGGAAGTTGGACAGCTACTCCTGTGAACTGTTTCCTCTAATTTGTTCCCATACTTTGAATGGCTTTTAGACTGAAACAAAAGAGCTTTGGGCATTAATCTAAACCAAAAAAAAAAACCCACAGTCTTTCCCATACCAGTGCAATAGCGTGAATGGTTTCACAAAAATATCGTCATTACCCTTTGAAGTTGTCCATGACAGCATTAACCAATGACTGAAGGGTCACCAGCCTCCTGAAGGATGCTCACAGTTCATTAACAGTATCATCTTCCTTTAAGCCACACAACAAAGTAAGTCTTCTGAAGAGTTCTGGTATCGGAAGCAGAAGTCCCCATAGAAAGCATTTTAATTCTGGTAAGAGAAAATGATTTATGTAACAATTCAGTTATACACAAGATGTACTAGATCTGCACAGACATGCACCCTGAAAAAAAGTCAGCACAAAATGTACTAATAATTAAAGACATCAACCTGTTTTACATGGCCTAGACTGAATCACAAGTAAAAGACAAACAAGCAGGTTTAACTACTAGAAAAAGGCTAATTATATATGAGCCTCTTTGGTAAAGTTTTCTGTTTACAGTGGTAAAGAAATATTTATAGCTGAACATTTTTTTCAGGACAGAGAAGTGCTGTATCATATTCCCTACTAATAGAGATCCTCTTACATATGCTTGTCCCATATTTAGCAGCCACTCCATACCTGCATGATGCAAACAGTCGGATTTACCCACGCACAGCAGAACCGGGACCGCGTTCCCCGATTCCTGCTAGCGGTACACAAGGCACCCGGGCAGTAACACAGCCCTCCAGGATCATCCTCTCCAGTACGCAGACTGTTTCTCTGCTGGCCTTCAGATTAGCTTGTTTGCCAGCTCTACCAGGAAAAACAAGGAGCAGCGCCTGTAACCTGTTACAGGCCAGACCAGGGATGACGAAGCATATCTCAGAATAGAATAAACACGTCTCCAGCAGCCCTTATGGAGCTGCCGGTTAGTTTACACTAACCAGCATACACTTACATACCACAGCGCGTATCCTGTGGTAACCGCTGAGCCATCAGCAATGACTCTCTAATAGCAGAAGATGCATCACACAGCAATTAACACGATGCCTCTCATTGCCCGGGAGACAAACCACCTTATTTACCATTCAAAATGGGTACACGTGGGGCTGTACCTTGCAGATATTTTGAAAGGATAAGTTGAAATTATGGTAAATAAATAAGCAAGATGGAGAGGAATCAAAGTGGCATTGGTATGCTTCAATGCAAGTCTACTGTGCATATTTCTTGGGTAACTTGCTTGTCTCCCATAGTCACAAAATGCACATACAAACCGCTCTCGCCGTTTGAACGCTGTCAACACAGCGCATGCAGTAACAGATAAGGCAGGCTGCACTATGCCGTCCTCTTACGCATGACAGCAAGAAAGTTTCCTAATGAAGTGTTCACTTCTCACTTTCTTGCCTCCTCTATTATTAGCTTTTTGTTTAGTTCCTGCCCTTCATTCAGTTTCACATGTTGACATAGCTGTCAGCAACATGAATTGCTCCTGACATTCAGTGCAGGAGGAAATGCGTAGAGATGGTATTCGGGATTCATTTTAAGCTCTGCTGGAATGCCAAAACCAAATAATGTCACATTTCCCCCAAGCATCCTGTTGAACCATCTTTTAGAAAAAGCACTGGAAAAAATAGCAGCAAACTCTCCAACCTTTTTCCCCTTTTGGCAGAGGGGTCCCAACTCAGATAATTCTATAATGACAAAAACCAGATAGCTTTTCAGCACGGAACTGCCATAAGATGTACGTGAAGATTACAAATACCTTCCTCTTCTGGCTTTTTCCCCTCTTAAATGAAATCTCTTTATCAAGTGTGCCAGCAGACATCAAGCTTCCTGTCATCAAGCCCTGGCATCACGCGTAGCCCAGCGCAGCCACAAGCCCCAAACTCAAACTTGCACCGATTCAGACAGCTTGGAGCCCACTCCACACGACTCGGGGCTTCACAGAGCTCAGCTTGCAGAGCCACTTGGCTGGGCTGCATGAGTGGGCATGAATCGCCGACCTCATACCACATGTGCCCTGCATAACTTCACACCTGCACTGAAGACTCAGAACTTGCTCCAACCCCTGCCCAGCGCCCTCAGAGCCCAGCTTACAATTAAGCCACATTCCCATCACCCCAGCTCAGAGCAGGGTCACCTCCTACTGCTTCAAGCCAACTGAGGAGCCAGATGCCAGGTCTGACACAATGGGTAAATGGCAACCACGCACCAAGTTCTCCATGATCAGGAGCACCACTTCGGTTGGGTTATTCTTCCCCACCAACCTGAATGATTTCCATCAAGCTCTTATCGGACTTACAACCTTGAGATGGACATGGCTTTGTCAATCTTGGCTGTCATCAGCCAACAGGCTCGAGTTGAGAAGTGGGAACTAACAGGGAAGAGCATACAGCTGTCATAAAACCATGTTAGTCTGAACAATACAAGCGGAGGAAAATTATTTTTAAAGAGTTAAAAGTAACATAGGATTTAGTAGCTTATAAAAGCAGGAAAGAAGGATAAACATTAGGACTGCAATACAAATAGAACCCCTTTTTTCTAGCATTTTGAAAGAAAAATTAACACTTGTATGGAGTTAAAAGACCAATGAAAAAACACTGAAGAGTTTGAAAGACAACAAGCTGGTGAAAGAATTACACTAAATATAGATCAGTAGGGCCAGGTGATGGAGAGATTTGTTCAAATCTGCCACAGGTAAATGTGACTTCCAGTTAAAGGGACCCACCTTTGCAAATGTAAAGATGCAGGCTCAGGCCTATGCAAAGCATCAAGATAAACACCTCCAGAGCAGTGCAAAGCTTACATAGAAAACTTTTTCTTTCTTCCTTCAAACTGATTGATTATTTTTAAGAAACCCATTTGGGCCTATGCAGCTATACCTTCCAATCTGTAGCACTCCTGTTGCATATTGTTCTTTTCTATGGGCATAATTATGCCAAACTGAAGCTTAATAAAGGTTTCTTTTAAATGCACCTTTTTATCCTTCTCCCAGACAGCAGCATTCTACTTTTATTTGCTCTTTTTCACATCATATTCTTTTTCAAGATACCATTAAACAGGCTGGCACGGTGCTACTGCGTACCAGGACCACCAGCAGCCACCGCAGAAGCCACTGCAGCCAGATGAGCAGCTCAGCGCCCTGAACCAGCTCAGCTTGGCTCGGCTCGCTGCCGCTTTGGGTGAGGCCAGAGCTGGCTCAGAGCTACCTTCTTTCAAAACACATCACAATCCACATGTTTTATTGGCACTTACAGCCTCTCTTACCCAATCGTTACTTAATTGACAACCATTTCAACGATGTGAGGAAATTCCCTTCTTCTACATGATGAACTCTTCCTCCCTTCTTGCTACACATGCAGAAAGCCTTCTGAGACTGTAATTCATTACTTCCTTTCTTCAAACACTCCTTGATAAAGGAACATATCTTATGGCTTCTCTACGTATTTAATTGGAACAGGAAGTAACTAAACAAAAGTATTCAAGGGCACTAGATCTCTTTGTACCACTTTGCTCCTTTTTACAGGGTGTTTATGTACACAAATCCATTGTCCAGCTTCCAAGTAACCCATCCTGCTCATGATTATTGTACCCATTCAGTTTGGTTATTTTTGCAAATTCAAGTCCCCAGCATTCAGTTTTCTCCCATAAGTGCAGAAACATGAGCAATACGTAGTTACTCGCCAATCAGAATGCTACAAAGATGTGGGAAATACACAGAAAAATAGTGGGGGGGTCAAGGGGCTGTTGAGTGAAGGATGTGTGTAAGAGACATAAGTAACATATTATACATAGGAATAAAAAATGAAAGACGGCATATTTCATCCCTGAGCCATCCCTGACAATACATGTGTTAGAGAAAAGTTCGTACTATTTCAAGAGAAGTAAATGCTGTATCTAAAAGTCACTCATGCAACAGGTTTGAGTTTTAAAGCCAGAGGGGTAGCAGTTCCTCTTTACAGCAGTTTTGCTAATCCCATGCTTGGGAGTACCACGTAGAGTTCCCTTTCATTTGACTGTAGAAGAAACAGCAACATTGATAAGTTGCAAAAAGCAAAACTAATAGATCATATTACCTCTGAAGAAAGATTAATGCAATTAATAACTACGTCTCATGTAAAAGATGGTCAAGGGGAAATGTTGATTATCTTTGCACGTCAATGCACAGAGGGAATATTGGAATCTTACATTAGAGGCTAAAACAGTATTTTTACCACGTGTTAGCATCTCTCGCTGTTAATTTTGTACATTGTGCCAATGCCTACATTCAGCTTGTTGAAGTGAGGAGCTAACGTCAGGTAAAAGTGAATAAGCTCTTGCAACACTTAGGCCCTGCTTGTCGTGCTGCTTTGTGGAAGATGTCCTGGCTGTGACACTGAGACATTTTACACAGGGGGAACTTCTAAACTCACACCTTGGGACACAACTGGATGCTAAGCAATCTGAACTATTTAAAGCCTTGTTTGCCTTGTTGTCATGAGCATCAGAACATCCCAAATCCATGCTTTCCAAATTGCTCCAGTGACCGCCTCCGCCTTCTGGCAAGGACCAGACCTCAGGTTGCAGCTTGGCACCCCGGTGCCCGTGAGCCAAACCCCACCTGTGCGGGCAGCTCAGGGCGACCACCGAGGCACCGTGCCCCGCGGGGTGCCGCCCACCAGGCAGCCCCTCAGTCAGCACAGCCCCCACACACGGCGCAGAGCCGCTTCCTTACCGACCTGCCCTCCCAGCCACGCCGCAGAAATACGAAATAAAAACAACCCTGGGCCAGCCCCGTGGCCTCCCTCAGGTGTAACCGGGCACAAGCCCGGCACAAGCCCGGGCAGCGCCCCGCGGGCAGGCGCTCAGGGAGCGCCCCGTGGAGCCCCCCTCCTGCCCCTGCCTCCCTTCCAGCCACCCCCCGGAGCCCAGCGGGAGCCCAGCGGGACCCCAGCCCACCCCTCCCGGCCCTGCCGGCCGCAGACGCGAGGCGCCCGCCCGGAGCCCACGGAGCCCCCGAGCCCCGGCAGCCGCCCCCGGCCCAGCCCGGCCCCTGCCCTGCCCCGTACCGATCGCAGGGCGAAGCCGCCGCCACCGCCGGAAGCCCCGCACGGCCGCGGAGGGCGGGCCGGAGGGAGGGGCGGGGCCGCCGGCTGCGCCTGCCCGCGCCGCTTATGGCCGCTAACGGGAGGGGCGCTGAGGGGAGCGGTGTGAGCACCCCCCCCCCCCGCCATAAGGGTGTGCTGAGGCAGCCTGAGAGCACAGGTCCGGCTCGGTCGGACGCCCCGGCTTTAATTGATAATTGTTAATGAGCGTCACGGTCGGCTTCCGCGCTGCCTCGCCCGGCACGCATGCCCGGCTGCTCGTGCCTCCTGCCCCAAAAGCTGCTTCCTCTCCAGGTCCTGTGGCGGTCGCCCAAGCCGCTGTCAGTCCCTCCAGGCTCCTCAGTCCCCAGCGCCACTCCGCTTCAAGTGGTACCGGGGAAAACGTGGCGAGCTGTGGTAAGGGTGTGCCTCGCCACAAGGCACCCCTTGTTTAATCTTTGACAAACAGTGACTAACAGAAACCTGCAAAACCTTGGAAGCACGTTTTCTTCATTTACTACTACTCCTTCAGCAGCACTACTTTAAACTACAGAAGCATTAACAGTATGACATCAAACTTACACAAATATCACCCGAAGTCATGTCAGTGTACGCGCTGCCCTGATCCATTTCACTTACGACAGAAAATATTGATGCTGACTTTGACCAGGTGTTCAGAAACCTCTAAATATACAAAAATAAATAAATAAATAAATGTTTGCTATCTAGGGTACTTTATATATAATGCTTTAACACAAATTCTATAACCTTACAAAAATTTCCACATCTAGAAATTTAGGATAGGAAGCTTCCCTACTGCTAAGTGGCAAACAGGCCACCACATAACCCTGCTTTCCACAGACAGACCTGCCAGGGTGACTTGTGTATAGGCCTCTCATATACCCTCATATATGTGTGCACTTGCAGATACATAAAAGGTGTTTAGATTTAGAGCTTAGTGATACGGTTTAATGGAGGACTTGTTAGTGTTAGGCCAGAGGTTGTATTAGATGATCTTGGAGGTCTCTTCCAACCTGGATGATTCTGTATCCTGTATTCTGCATAAATATGTTGTATGCATAAGATGCTGCTGTACCGTATACGGTCATTTTAAAATAACATCTTAACTTTTAGGGCATTTCTTCTATGAAAGAGACGGGCACGCTGTTCAGGTTCAAGGGCGCAATTTATCTGATCCATTCGAGACTTCTACTTTGGCACTAAATGTATCACCAAGGAACAGGAACCTAAAAGTCTCAATTCCTGGCTATAATGAAAAAGCACACAACTAGTTTGAATATCTGGTCAAAGGTCTGTGTTTGACCAAATTGTTCATATCCAGTTATTATTTTAAGGCTGTATTGATACCGAGCTTTCTGTTACTGCAGAAGATAGAAGAATATGAAAAGTTTTTTTCTCTCAGTCCACTCATCATCCTCCAGCTCACATCCTCACAACTGAAAGATTCATCTTGTTTATCCTAAATAAGATACATCTTATTTAAATTTAGCTTTCTAAAAGTCACGTGTTTGATCTGGTCTGCTAGGCACATTTTCTGTGATCCATGGGGAGACAGCGAAACCTCCAAGTGTTTCAGCCTGTTCATTCACTCCTACAATAGATGCCTAGGAGGTAGGGAAGATACCACCACTGCTGGGAGCTGCATGCACTTAGCACAGACCATCCCCAGGCTTTCCAACAGCAAATACGATGTGCTGTTTGTGAACACACACTTACCAGGCAAGACCAATTACAGAACCAGCTTCACTGATTCACAATGGTTGCCCAAGGGCAGGTAATGTTTTGAAACTAAAGAGAGGCTGGTGTTTTTCAGAGGGAACAAACAACATTGGGTGATATACTGGGGCACAGGTGACAGGGTCCTTTTTGTCTATGTTGCTGTCTCAAATTCTAGCTATCACCCAAGACAAGCGACTAGGTCTTGGATCACAGTCAGATACTTCAACTAAGTTGTCACTGCAAGCCACCATTGTGATGACTGCTGAATATCCAGGGTAAAAATCTCCGTAGGACAGGAGGTGGCGATCCCATGCGGTCAGCAGTGTGCGGCAGTTGAAGCTACAAGGTTATGTTCTACACCCACAGAAGATGTGCAGATCCACTCTTCTAGGTTATCAAGCAATGAAGCTTACCTAAGTGTGGGGTAAAGAGTCACAATACAGGTCTTCCTGAAAGCAGGCTAACACAGGTAACACTGAGGTTTGCCAAAAAGGAGGCCTGTGTTGCGATTTCTAACACGCCAGTTGAGAAAACATTTGTAAACAAATTGTGAAAAAAATACTTGACTCATAAATCACCAGTTTCTGCTTTCAGCTGGAAACTGATCTGAATTTTATTATCCCATTTTAAAGCTTGTATTTTAAGTGTTAAACTGAACCCTGAAAATAATGAAATCATTTTAATCAGTGGGTTATTTTTAATAGAACAGACTTAGCCAAGCGTTAACTGCTAAGCTGCACTGAGCGCATACGCACAGCACTGTTACCATTGGTGTGAGTTGTTCTCTCTGGCTTCCTCTGCATCCCAGGATATTAACCCACCATGGGAAACAACTTGCTGTCTCTTGGGCCAGCATTACTGCTTTTTGATTTGTGAAATTACATATATTCTCTGAAGTGGAAGAGAAAGTACGCTAAGTCAATGAGACTTTTCACTCAGTAAATTTAAACATTTGTAGGTGTTCTCATGAACCAGGACTAACAAGGCCTTGCTTTCAGTGTCAGTTTAAACTGAAGAAAGAAAATATTCTCTTCAATTCCTCTGGAAATTTTTTATTCCCTGTGTTTTGCTTTTTCCCATGTCACAATATTTTGCATAGCATCCTCTGCTATGCTCTCTGACAACAGCAAATTGTATAGTTAATCATATTGGCTGCATTTTATCTTCCTTTTTTTCATGTATTTTTATTAAATGATAAAGAGAAGAAAATGCCACAGTACAAGTATGTGCTTAATTGTTATGCACAATTAAACTGCTGCAGTATTTCATCTAACTGTGTCTCTGCTGCTTGGCACTGGTTCCTGGTAGATCACAGACTGTAGACTATGTACTCACTGGGGCAAGGGCAATGCCTTGCTATGTCTTCTGTGAAGTATGTGAATACATATTGTCAAATTATTTAATAAAAACAGTTTTAGCTTTTGAATAGCTAAAGACTGCAGTTCTTATGGAAGCACTCTGCATGCTATGTAATTAAACTTTAAGGGAAAAGCAAAAAGAATGAGAAGAAAATAATTTATCAAAATACAGTATTACTTGGGCTTATCATGGTTAAAAATCTTTCCTTTTTATCTTTTTGCAGAAATACACTCGTGAGCAGTAATCCTAAAGCTTGGAAACGATGTGTTAACTAAAATCTTCATGAGGTTTTTAATGAGGATTAGGGAATCTGAGATGATAAAAACTACTGTGTACAAGGAGGTTGTTGTGTGAGAATCTTCAGACAAGTTTTAAATCAGAATCCTTTGTCAGCAGCAGTGGGATCCAGTAAGGATAATATGCTAATTTTTAACCAGCAATAGGCTTCATATAGGGATCTAAAGAGACAGAGATAGATACAATCTTATTAAGCTTTTGTGTTGACACTGCACAGCTTGTTACTGCATTCAACTGAAATTTAAGAGTGGGAATGGAAAACCTGTATAACATTTTAGTAAGATATACAGTAACACTGAAACCTGCATAACAATTGGAAGAATAAGTAGGAAATTCCCTTAGCCCTTGGGCTACCTCCGTTTTTCTGTTCCAGCAGACAAGTAAATGCTCTAGGTGTCTATGCCATAAAAACTTTCCCAGAGGCAATTCTGGCAAAGCACCTACATTCTTCAAACCGGACCCGTTGCTTTAACCTTCTGAATGTCACATTTCTAAAGCAAAGTGCCTCTGCTGCACCGCCGGCTGCTTCTAGTCTCCAGGCTTTCCTTACAGCCTGCTAGGAGTGCAGGAGAGTATCACAGAAATGTATGCTCAAGGAACAGGGACAATTGATTCTCTCTTCATTACAACTGGAGAGCTGCAAGGTACATATGAACAAGGTCTTGCTGTAATTTCATGATGAAAGGAATGTTCTTATAATTAGCGGGACTCTGTATTTTATCGAGCTTATGATATTGATCGGTAGTGATTGTTAATCAGCTCAAGTCTCCTTTGTCACTCCAGTACTTTTTCTTTGTAAATACATGTATATCAGCCATTTCATATTTTCTTGCATAATGGCTGCATGAGCCTGACTGGCATCAAGGAGCAGATGACTGGTAGTTTTGAAATAGAAGTACGTAATGGCCATACTGTGCGTGTTTTTAGAACAAAAGCCAAGGGAATATATATACAGCTGCAGTGCAGTACTTCAGTGCTTGCAGATCTGAGCCATATTGATTTCAGTAGAGATATGTCATTTAGCCTCACAAAAAGACATTGTTAGCCTCTCATCAAGCATCACATAACTATTTTAAACCCTTTTAAATATGTTCATGTGACCAGAGACATTTTTATAGGTCAGTTGTGTTCCATAGCTACAGAGCTGTCTGTGGCTCATCCAACTGCTGCCACATTTCACAATGGCATGATCAGTCAAAGCAGAACTCAGCAGAGCTGAAGACTTACAGAAGCTAAACAGTAAGCTGATTCCACCCAAGGGTTAGAAACCTGGAAAACTATGAAAAGTACTGTGAAGTTCATATCACTGCTCCAGTCCCGATCAATGGGAGCATTGTTACCAATGTCAATGAATGGAGAATTGTTGGTGCTTTGCAACCAATGTCTTAGGCTTCCAAGACGAAGGATCAGATGTGCTAAAGTTTTCTTTCAGAAATAATGTGTGCATCCACTACATGCAGAAAAGCTGCTTTCAGCCATGTAAATACACTAATAGTAAAGCCATATGCTTATCTAGGACCATTCTCCACTGCTAAAGATGTCACACAAGTATAAAACCAAAAGTAATATATTAAAAGACAGTATAAGAAAATTTATTCACAAAAATTTAAGGAAGCTTTACTGATTGCTCAGTTATAATAATAGCAATAAAAAAAGGAGGGGAAATATACAAAACATATTGCAAAGCTTATTTTGTGATGGAACTGCTCAGAATATGTAATAGAATTCAGCATCTTATTATATTGCCT